AGCCCACCATTGATACAAATTACTAAATTATTACAAATTCTTTGAATTTTTAAAATCAAAACGTACATCGTAATTTTATTTTATTTGAAAACATATCTAACTATTAGATTTCTAGAATTGAACATTTTTTTCAGATTATTACGCGATACATCTGGTCGATATTTTCGCCGAGGTGCGTTACAGAAATCATAACTGTGAAGCTATGTACTGTAAGATAATCATTGTACTGCATCAATGCAATATGCGTAATACACCGGCTCGCCTCGCGCAATGCGAATCTCCTGTGTTGTGGCGCAAACAAAGTCCCGCCAACTGCCGCGTTGCAGTTGGTGGAACTTTGTTTGCGCCATTCATTCATTTTCACACGTACACATTACCGCATCATTGAACGCGAATCACCTCCCTGCTCTCGCGCGCTTTTTAGCGGGCAGCACTTGCTGGCATATTAGACACTCGGCTCGTTTCAAATCTAGCTATATATATTTTCCATGTGTACCTTGCGGGATTTGTAACGTCAATGATACATCAATGATAATCTTCGCCTGGCTTATCGTCGATAGATTCGTTGAAGCAGAAACACCCACTCAATATCCATCAGCGATTTAAATAGCTTTATTCCGCTGAATAGAAGAGAGATGGATCCAGAAAAGAAAATTAATCGTATGTTGTTAAAACTGCACCTCTAATCTCTTTTCACGCAAGCTCGACGGTCTTTAGACACTTTTAGCATTTCTGGATCATTAGTCGCGAGATGCTTATCAGCACTTCCCGGCATCATCTCCCGAGCTATTCCTCCTCGCATGCCAGAAGATAAGAATCTTGTGTCATCGCGTAAACTCTCTGATCGCAATCTCTCTGGCACCCCCGATAAACTTCGGAGCCAATGGTTCCTTGCTGTCACGCGATCTCCGAATAGCGAAGTAAGACACTTACCGTGCGGAGGAACGATACGTCATCCTGCTCGGAGCCACCCTCGCTGTCGGCCATCCCTTCGGCGCGCTTTCACGCGACCAGCCTCCTCCGTCTGCACCGTCACCCCTGCGCGCTCGTGCGTGCGTACGCGTACGCGCGAGTCCTGCGTGCGTATCTCGCGTGTCACTTCGTGTCCGAGGCACCCTTGTCGATGCTCGAGGCGGACGCGGTGGTCATGCACGGTGCCGCGTGGCTGGCATGCTCCTATCACTACACACGGGCTCCCGGCCTCCTCGTCTCGTCGGGAACGACGTCGAGGACGACGCGCGCTGAACCGTCGTAGGGCAACGACGATCACCCACTGCTGATCGGATGGCACCCAGACCGCTCGCCGACGTCTCTCGCGCAAGCGCCCAATACCTTCAATCAAATTCCGCATGCTCGAGATTGCGTTAACGTGAAAGATCCCACGTTACGCTGCCGTGTTACACGGCTTTCGCGTTACGCGGCCGTCCGTCTCACTATGCGAAATATGTTGGTTATTTTTCCATTTTTCTCCCTCGAATATATCTAAGTAACGCGATAGGAATGGCTCTCCAACTATGAAAACGCGCAACTTGAAACAGAATGGAATGGTCTTCTGTACGAGCTTTCTTTTTCGACAATTTCATATATTTCATTTTTAATTGAAAAGACAATTTTGAGTCTGTGTTCCAAGTAGAACATGCTGGCTTTTTATACGCTTCCTAAACGTTTGTAGAACATTGGATACATTTAAGCAACGTATATAAAACGTACACGAACCACCATGTGCTGTCTGGACAGTTATTTGGATTTTCCATCAAAGCTTCGGAATGGAGTAGCATCAAGTGTTTGTAAACAGCCTCGGTTATTAACGCTCATGTCTTATTAAATTATTCTAAATAGCGCATGACGAGACAGGTATATTTCGGCAATTTTGCAGTCGCGTAAAAATAGTTTCGAGCAAACGCATCTCTTTCACCGATGGACGCAAAGGCGAAGGTTCATAAATGAGTCATGAATGAGTGCTCCGTCGGATAACGTTACAAAATTAGAAAGTATCGCGTGAATTACGGGAGCAGCTGGATTTATTCGCAAATGTTTTTATCCGTGACGTCCCCGGCTGCTCTCGTAATCGAGATGCTTTCTAACTTTGTAAATCGCGCAAAATATCGCGATGCGATTTGCAGCATTTTGATATCTCGTTTGCATTTCAATTGGATGGATTTTTTAATTCTCTTTAACAGCATAGTAGGAAAAAAGAACAGTTTAGCGGCGACGATGCAATACATCGACACAGAATTACGCCTGGTTGATTTTGCCTTCTCTGTGAGTCTATTTCCAGCAACGCGACAGAAATAGATACACCCGCGATGGCTTACCGAAATATCCCCATGCGCTTAGGCGAGGGTCGCCTCCCCATTATCGCATTTAATATGTTAATCGAAGGTTAAGTATGTTTTGTCGGAAATCACGTGTGAGTGTCTGTCTTCGCAAAAATTTAGTTACAGAGATCGCGTTAACTGTGGAGGCCTCTCTACACTTATTATACTTGCGATAAAATCGCTGCAGGATGAACGAAATAAAAATTTTATAGAAAGTCAATAAAAGCTCTATGTGTTCTAACGCGTAACGTTCTATAAATATTTCTTATATCTTCATCGTTCGCGATATTGAACGTTTCATATCGGAGACGACGGTTCACTTTCAGATATTATTTCGCAGTGTGCCACAGTAGATCAAAATGGAACAGTAGTAATTTTATTTGTCAAAAAGATTGAATTTCTCGAGTCACTTAAAAATTTATTGATTCCAATGACAACTAACGAATGTCCCTTAAACTTTTTTACGTCGTCGTTTCTGGCAGAGTTATTTTAGAAAGCAGCATTGCATAAGAATATAAAACGGAGTTTTTACCCTTAGGACTGGCTGAATTTGAAATTGCGTGAAAATGTGAAATATACGCGAAACGTATGACGCTTTTGCCAAGTAATTAAGCGTTCATATTCATTTAACCAAGCCTGTCTTTAAAATTAAGTTAATGATTATATAGCGTGCGCTGAAGTCGCACACAAAATCGCTACCGTGATATTTCTTTGATGATATTCCAAGTACAATAGTCGCATTCATGATACAATAACTCCTAAACAACTACTCCGATATAGCTAATTAGCTAAGAATGCTCGGTTATCACGCAAAAAAAAGCACTACGATTTTCGAGAAGCACGTCACTCGAAGCATCACACACGCACAGTCTCGCATACGCACACACATACACACATTCACATACACACATGCACACACACCCTATGTGCAATAGGGTGCAACCGGTGGTTTCCTTCTCGAAGGGAACCACTTGACATGCGCGTATCCGCGAATGAGAAGAGATGAAATTAACCGTGACGATTCACCCCGAGAGAACTCACCTCGTCACAAATCGGCGGACTCTAGTCTCGCGACTTCGCGCAAGAAATTCGCGAACGCACGCACGCACGGCAATCGCGCCACCAGGATGCGAGGGATCGGGTATCTCGCGCTCGACCGAGGGCTTCTTCGGGGTACCGAGTCTCCTGCTTTCCTGACCGTGTGAGATCGAGCCCCCGCGACGGAATATCTGTCGGAGCTCGCGGACCTATGCCGAGCCGAGCGGAGCGACGGCTATTTTCAGCCTCGAGCCGAGCGGACCGCGCCACTCCGCTCCGCGCGTTTCGCATCATATACCTGAGAGAACCTCGGGGATTCGCGGTCGGAATCACCTGAGGATCGCGATGCGGACTTTTTCAGTTAATGTGCGACAAAATTGAAGGACGTGGACAACTTTATTATACCATAAAAATTTTATTGTTCGATATTATTCCTTTGTTTTATGTTTTCGAACGAATTACTTTCTTGCATCGTTCTTTGGAGGTCACGTATACCTTGCGACAACGACACGTAAGGCTCTCGGTGGCTACAAATTCGCGAGAAGTGGAACATAAGAAATTATTATAACGTTTGGAGTTTTTAAATTTTTTAAATGACTATTATTGCAATTAACTTTTTGTCCCGCAGGATATTATTTTAAAATTATTTTCAATCTTTACACAATATCCTATACAAACGTAAGAAACTAGTTACGTACGTTTATTTTTGTACATTTCGATAAAATAATTCCTCGAAAGAACTCATTTAGGCCCGGTTTTTCATTTTATGATTAACTATTAACCAAAAGTTAGCCGACTCTCCAGCCTTTTCGATGTTATTATCTAAGAAGAGACAGAGAATCGACTAACCTCGGGCTTACAATTAACCAGAAAGTGAAAAAAACCGGGCCTTATAATTTTACGTACAAGCGACAACGACATGTAAGACTCTCGGTGGCTACAAATTCGCGTTAAGTAGAACATTATAGTATAAGAAATTATTTTAACGTTTGAATTTTTATATTTTTAAAATGACCATTATCGCAATTAACTGTTTGTTCCGCAGGATATTATTTTAAAATTATTTTCAATCTTCGCACAATATCCTATACAAATGTAAGAAATTATTTATGTACGTTTATATTTTGTACGTTTCGATAGAATAATTCCTGGAAAGAACTCATTTATAATTTTACACGTCAAAGTCATACATTTCTCACGAGCGAATGCGTTGTACTGAATTAAAATTCACGATTTAATTCGACGCACAAGCTATCGCGGTAAATAAATCGTTTGGCGATATTCGGTTTATAACATTCTCAAATTTCAGCGAACGACTATTATAATCGTGCACCTCGCTTTTGTTGCCACCGATCCTTGCCAAGATTTTCAACGTAACGCATCATTGTCACAGGGACACGCGGCAGAGTGGATTCTTCAGGAAATAAATACAGTCTGCATTGTGTGCTCTCTAATCATTCGTCATTTAGCGGCAAATATCGAAGCGTACGAATCTGACCAAAGTCTGCGCGTCCATGTAACGTCACAATTGTTAGTAATCGATTGATAACCGGTAGACAGGCAATCATCGAACACCTGCGGGCTACGTGACAGCCTTTGAACTTGCCGCCGCCAGTGGCTCGAGTGCGCAGAAGCACTGACGTGTCTTGCTAGGAGTAGCCAGCTGACTAGAGGGACTGCGGGCTGGAGTCGTGTCGTTCATACCAGTCATCCCTTTATTTTTTTCGCTATTAGGTTAACGTCCCGCTAATTAACAAAGTAATGTTGGGGAAAATTAAAACGAAGCAGGAGAAGAGCGGCGGTAAGTGAGAGATTATTTTAATATCAAACACCACCGCGGCAGACGCGAGCAAGTTGAGAAACACCGTCTAGAGATCCTCTTCCAGAGGTTATGTTTGTTATTTATTTATTCGCCGTTTGCACGCAGCAGCGTGTAAATTAACAGAGTCGCGGTTTATCCGCGATGTGACATAATTATTGGGCTCGTCACGATCGACGAGTCTGAATTGTACATGAATTTCCGAATCTCGAAGAGAAGTTTCCGTAGTTCTCTTTTTTTTTTTATATCCAGTGGAATATTTTCCTAATTACAATCGCGATTAAGTACGACTACGTGTTGCAGAGATCATTGCGTATAGCGAGACGGCAGTTGCGAACAATGCTGCAGTTGTAGACTATTGTAAGATCTCGATGGCAGCTTTGTCGGGCGGCACAGCTGGACTGCTAGGCTTGACCGGGCTGTACGGATTCGGATTTTACGTCTTTGCGGTTTTCGGGCTGTGGGTAAGAGGCCGTGGTAGCATTGACAACAATTTCACGTAGTATCAGCAGTAATGCCACTGATCGTCTTCGCAGGCGATGCTGCTGATGAAGGCCGGCGGCCAGTGGAGGAAATATTTCATTAGCAGGCGGCATCTCTTGACCAGCGGATTCTTTGGCGGGCTTTGCGTATCCTTTGGAGTGACTCCTGCAGGCCGCTCTCTTAAAGTCGATCGGCGACAATCCATTGGTTGACTCTAAGAGAACGGTTTTCTTTATTTTCAGAGGCTGATCTCCATGTTTTCTTTTCCTTAACTCGCGCGAAACTTTCCACAGACGTACGTGTTATTCTGGACGTATCCTTTTTCACGATACACTTGGTACAAGTAATATGCAATAGATATAAACAGGGTTGGGTAGCATCTAAAAATTCAATAATTTTAACTTAACTTGGTTACATTATAAACCGTCAACCTTTAACTCAGTTTAGTTATATTTTATCGGTAACTGTTAACTTTTTAATTTCTTTGTATTATTAACTTTTAATTCAGTTAATTTCATTATGGGCTAACTTGTATCTTAACTATGTTAACCCATGTAACGCAATTACTATCCAACTGTAAGTTAAGTATTATCACACTTTTTGTATTCCCAGATTGCTTGAAAAGGACCAAAAACCATGGTCGAAACGTAGCGTTTCTTAAATAAAGAAAAGAAATTTTTGCCAGTTACGGTCAAATAATAAAGTATACTGGATTTGTTAACCAAGTTAAATTTTCAAAGCTGTTAACTTTAATTTTACTTAATTAAAAAAAAAAGGTAACTTACCCAACACTGAATACAAAGAATAGGCAACTTTAAGTATGTAGTTTTGGTAGGTGCGCAATATCGGAATGCTGTAAGTTTCTTAATGGTTGCAATCAGATTTTTATATGGAATGGTCCACGTCTATTGAGCGGGGGAAGAACGAACGGCTCGCAGCGATTGTGACATCACGCAATTATTTAAAGCTACGTAATTAATATAAGCCAGTCATTGTATTTATATTATTTAAGGATACTGACCAAATAAACGATGAAGCGTTCACGTGATGTTGCACAAGTATGTCGATATTGTATATAGAATACACTTTTCATGAAAATCGCATTTATTATTCAACGTTTGAGTGTAGAGAGACAATATTAAAGCCAATGCAATAGAGATATTAATATAGGAGCCATATTCTCTTTATTGGATGTATGATAAATATATATATGATAGATATATATTTGCATAATAAATTATTAATTACTGAATTACAATTATTCGATGAAAAGATTAGTGGTGACCATATACCTATACACGCGGCTGTGAACACGTGCAAATAGTTAACTGTTTATTTTAATCAACGCGGTATTAACAGCGATTGTTTCAGTAAATTAATATTGCTTTTAATTCTGAAATAAATCGCTTAAATTTATTTATTATACATTTTCTTTTTAAATACCGTCGGTCGATGAACATTTTAAGCGCTTAGTTTCCGCATCAGATGCGATTTCTAATAATTTATTATGTTTTATTTCTATCTTGCTGTACATGATTATTTCTGCGTACATTCTTTGATATTCTAAAGTAGAAGAATCTCCTCTCGCGCACTAGGGGAAAAAAATATGAAATCGATACACAACTTCCGATAGTTTGTACTTAACATGCTCATTTTCTATGTCAGTGTTTTTAATGGCCTTTGTCCACTCGCTACTAGCTAACATTGTCTACAAAAACGGAAATCTGTTCATTAAATAAGATTTAAATCGTATCCTTAACAATTATATATATATAGCTGACTTTGATGCGTGTTACATTTAACTTGATTTCGGCAGTGAAAGTCAATTGCATTACACGAATATACTTAACACAAGGACGAGTGATAGTTCTTGCGAACTGACGGATAACATTCCTGACGTAACAGTGTCACTTTGCTGAAATCCGCGGGAGGACCTCAGATTTTCGTCTCGGAAGTTTGCTCGTGCGCTGCTGTTTCTTCCCGACAGCTCTCGGCGACGATCTCGAGGGGCCTGCCGGTTTCCAAACCCTCCAGTCTTCTCTCCTCGTCCATCTTGTCCAACTCCGCTTTGCTTAAGTGATAGACTATTCCAGCCCCGTAACCATCGCCCAGAACGTTGATCGAGGTTCTGATCCGATCCCTTAAAACGGAAGCGATTCATTTTACTCTTAGCTCCAATCGATTTTATCGAAGCATCGTAATAGTAAGCATGTAAAACGTACAGCATCCAGTCGATAGCGAATAACAGGGAAACGTCGTTCGTAGGGAGACCCAAGGCGGTCAGCACCAACAGCATGGTGACCAAGGCTGCGCTGGGGATGCTCGCGGCTCCAACGCTCGCCAAAGTAGCCGTGAGACTGTGAAAAGAGTAAATCTTGAAAGAGAGAACTGTTTTAATGCACTCATTCGATATATCGTGATTCTTTTTCCAATTGTTAACTGGCAGTTTTAAAAGGAAATACTGCATTTGATGAAATGCGTGTACCTGACGGTGATGACTTCAACGAATCCCAATGAGATGCCGTTCAATTGTGCGATGAAGATCGCGGCCACTGCTTCGTAAAGAGCTGTGCCGTCCATATTTACGGTGGCACCGACCGCCACAACAAAGCGCGTCACTCGCGGATCGATCTTGTTGTTTTCTTCGAGACAACGGAAAGTCAGAGGCAACGTCGCCGCGCTATAATGTATTATATTATTGTCATTTCTTTAAAAAGTTAACCATGCAGGAAAATGGAAGTTTACAATTCGTTCCATGAATATTCTTGGGGGAAGTCATGATTTTTCAATTAATTCTGAGACGATCCCTGAGTTGATCTCTGGATCAACTAATTGTTGAAAAAATTTGAAAACAATTGCAAAGAGTTAAATCTAAAATGTTCTTATGTACATACATTTCATATATGCACACAGTGTTGATACAATCACTGCGTGCATAATACGCGATAAAGTAACGTGCGCATATATTTGCATGTATGCATTTTGCGGAACGTAGCCATAATGTGCGTGTTAAGCAATAATGATTACCTCGAAGCGGTTCCCAACGCTGTCACCCAGGCCTGCATCATGCCTCTAAAGAACACTGCGGGATTCTTTCGAGTTATAAACCAGTAGATGAACGGCAGCGTGATGATCGCGTGGATCATCAAGCCTATTACAACTGTCACCATGTACAGGCCCAACATCTGGGCGGTTGCCGCTAGATTTGCGATCGACATTATTTTGCCAGCTATCAAACACATAATTCCAAACGGAGAATACCTGCAGCGATTACCAATTGCGTTGTCATAACAAGAGAATAAATAGAGAGAGAGAGAGAGAGAGAGAGAGAGAGAAAAGATTTTATTTTCTTTAAGTTTCAAATAATATATCGAATGAATGTTTGCACGTTTATATTCCCAGATAGCCAAATCTGCCAGAACAGATTTCATCAAATGCCCACTACAAATTTTGAAGGCAGAAAGACTGCAGATTGCATGCAGGAACTGATATATTCGACATGTTGCCAGCGTGTCAGCAGTGAAATACAACAAAATCTGCTCACGTAACTGGACCTGTTTGTATGTTTTACAGACTCTGTTGCCAAAACAAAGGCCAAATGCGGACACAGATGGCTATGGTTTTGGTGTGGGCTTCTGATAAATCGGCTGCCAATCTGCTAACATTTTGCTGACTGGGTTGATAATTGAATAATCAATTCTTTAAAAAATGCACAGCCAATTATTCGTCGATCTTGTGCACGATGCGAAGATTAATGATTTATTCGTATTGCTTCGTACCAAACGACGACGATCGTGACGAGTTTCATGATGATATCGTTCAACACCACGAAGAAGTCTACCATCAGTTTGCCGCGCGGTCCTATCTGGCCCGCGAGCACGCCGAAGATGATGCAAAACACGATCATGCCCATCACGTTCGTGCCGTCCTTGTAAACCAAGGCCGGCTCTAATATGTACTCGCTTTGATTCGCGCTGCCGATCACGACCACTTTCTTCTTCACGTAGGATGTCTGAACCTGCTGGAAGCACGCTTGCACCAGGTTCTCCGGCAACATGTTTCTGAGAATTGAAAGATTGCGAGAGATTTCGGACGCGCGAATTGTGGCCGCGGGGGGCTCATAGAGGCTGCTTTTCCGTACCGAATTATGTCGAGGATCGCGTCTACCGTGGAGACTTTTGTCTCCTCGGCCTTCACCACTGCCGCGACCGAAGTCTTGATCTCCGGATTACCCGGATGGATCATCAGCACCATCGCGATGCCCACTATAGCGGCGAGAATAGTCGTTATCGAGTAGTAGGTTAACGCCCTGAACCCTATCCTTCCTGACCTTTGAACGTCCAGCTGTGCCATTCCTGAAATAAGCAAGTAATCGCTCGCCAGAGGAGGTAAGGTAGAGACGAAGGCCCATCTTCTGAATCCTCGATAAAAGTGCCTGTAAGAGATCTTTTCATTAAGAATCCTTCAAATCCAATTTTGCTGGCACTTTTAGCGACAAAAGAGGATCCAGAATGTGGACCAATGAGTCGGAAAGTTTCAAGCGTACAATGTCCCTGCTGCGATGCAAAACACTGACGTTCAAAATTCAATTCACTTCTTCGTTTCTAATCTTTGCGTAACTGGATTTTGGCTGTTTTCTCTGTTTTTTTTTATTCTTTATTCGCTCAAGATCAAATGGATTATCGATGAATTATAATTACCGGAAATTAATGACGAGATGATGAGTGGCAGGATAAACATCTTCAGCATCCGCATAAGGAGCTCTCCCGGGAAGCTGACGAGGATTATAGATTGCGGCGTGAGATTGGCCAATCGACCCAGAAACCCGAGACCCAGACCCATCAAAACTCCAGCGATGGTCAGTGCCAGAAGCATGTTACTTCCCATCCATTCTATCACCTACATTCCCCGTAACGCGCAATGAAATTTAATAGACTCCTAAAGCACGCCGCGTGACATTTTTCTCCGAGGAGAAAACGAGCTTCCGCCAGAGTAATTTTAAGCACGATGCACCCTCTCTGATGGCTGTCATCGCGAGGATAAGCGAGGAATCAAACTGACAGTAATAGAGGAAGGTTCTCTATTATCAGATAGGTTTCTAGTATGAGATAGCAGGTTCTCAACACCCGGATTCAATCACAAATCTTTTCTCGCAACGATTACACGATCTCGAACAACGAATTTTCCACTAAACAAATTTCGCTCCGAGGGCAATAAATTCATGGCGGAACCAACTGACGATGTCTATTAATTTAACAGAAGTTAATCCATATTAGGATCCTATCTCATAATAGAAGACTTTCCTGTACTGAGGAACTTAAAATTTGATCAATGCCACGCAAATTCGATCCTCGAAGAGGTTTACTGACCATCTGTAACCTGTCGAGCGCCGTCACTTTGTGCTTCGCCTCGGCCTCGACCTCTTCCTCGGACGTCATCTTCTCGATCTCCTCCACGCACGACCTGGAAGGCGTTCCAGGTGAGAAGCAGCTCGAGTTTTCTGTAAAGGCATAAGAGATCTTTTTTACGTGTGGCCGCCGCCCTCCTTGGCCTCCGTCGAGGTCCCCCGGAGAACCGCAACCGCGCCGGAGATACGTTGCCCCAGAGACATCCTTCAAGCTTCGAAGACGCGGCGCTTCCAAGATTTCACGTGAGACGTAGCACACGAGGAATGTCGGGATAGGCCTTGCGAGCCTTCATCCCGCGGCCTTCAAAACTGCGCTGTGCCTTTTCACGACGCGAGTCATCTTGGTCTTACTCAGACACTGACGAGGCGTCCACGATTTTTCTGGATTATCAAGCGTAGAGGAACGTGTATTATTCCCGTACGATATTTCTCGCGTGAGCTCGTCTGTGTGGGGAATTACGAAGGAATAAAATTATTTCTCTTTAATGCAATTAGATTATGTAGAATTGTACAACGTCAGAACTAAAAAGTTATCCTATCGTTAGCTTCGCTTTAAGGAGGCAACTTAAAGAAAATTTCCAAGTTAAAATTGCTTTCACTGTCGTCGAAGGGAAGTAAACTGCGTATGGAAATCCGCGATTATCTCCCTGGATTGTCACGATCCTCCGCTTCCTCCTCTTCGCTCTCTGCTCTTGAGAAAATCAAACTCGGCGAGCGGACATCTCGTCTCGCGAACGATTATCGGGGCACGTGCGAACCGTTCGGTAGCGCATCGCGACACACGGCGATCCTTTCGCGCGAACCACCGGGCACCATCAGGGCGGGCTGGCTGCACAAGCGCACGGAGAGCTGAACGCTGGCCCCGACGATGACGGGGAGGGCTACGATGGCGGTAAGGCCCCGAAGGAGGTCACAACCGATCTATTACGTTCAGGATCATTGCACCGCGTCGGTTGCGGCCACGAGCGACATCCGCAGAGCTTCCGACGTGCTTTCTTTTTTCGCGCGCGCGATCGACTACCGAGAGAGATCGGATAGGTCTGCCGCCGCGCCGGTGGGCTAGGTATCGCGCCGCGGCGTTGGGATCTGCCTGCAATCAGGCCGATAATGTGCCCCATCCAGGAAGTTGATTAGTGCGCGCGTCGGGGGAGGCCCCGCGGGGAGACGAAAGGGGAAAGAGGGGCGCGCGAGCAGATGAACGAGGAGATGTGTCGCGAGGAGAAAGAGAGACCGGTAGATCACAGGAAGGAGGCACTCATTGCAGCGGGTCGCACGGCACCAAATAATAAACGCCGAAGGGAGCAAAAATGCCGCTGCTCGATGAGTTTCGGAGAAATCGCCGCCCCCGAGGAATCGGCTGCTCGATCCAACGTAAGGCACGTTGAACCGAGAGGTAGAGGAAGTCGCACGAGGGCGGAGTAGGAGGGAAATCTCGGAGCAGCGATCGTGCTCAACGCTACCTTGTAAGGGCCCTGCGTCAGTTCCGAATTACGTGAAGCCCGAGCACGTAGAGGAAGGTCCTCTATTATGAGATAGCAGGTTCAGTCACAAATCTTTTTTGCAACGATTATGCAATCCACGTGAATTATATGGGATATAAAATATATGTTTCGCGTCAGTAATGCAAGTTTTCTTGCTATATTAAAAAAATACGGCAATAATAATTTAAAAGTTTCTTTAAATGAATATGAAATTGTCCCTATGTAAAATTGTATTGTACTGATTTATATCAAGCAATTCTTTGGCTCTTTTTGCTTGTACGTATACTTTTTACCACCTGAACTGAATTACTGATCGAAAAACGTACGATCTAAAATCCACACAAGACGTCTTAAAGCAGCGCCTGCAAGACGTTGTAGATCGAGACACAATTGCCATCTTAAAGACTTCCTACAGACATATTTGTCTTCATAAAACGAAATTTCCAGACGACTCGGATGACTCGCAATACTCTCCGGGATCGTTTTATTTTTTGCAAAACGTCACGTTATAATCAATTATGTTCTACTCAGCTTTCGCGGGAATATTTCGGCCGAGATCATCGATTCCCAATCATTCGCGAACGTGACAGTGATAGTAGAAGGTAACAGTTACGCGGAAATACTTGCGCGTAATTGTTTTAGATGCATGTAGGATACGACCATTTACAAGACCCCTTTGTATATCCGTTGGGAAGTAACCTAATTCCTCTAGCAATGACGGCTATATAAGTGACTATATATAGACTAACATCGGGTTCACGGTGGTAGTATAATACGAGGACAAATCGAATCTCCCCACGATAACGCGTTTAACATCCCGTAACTTCTGAGCGAAAGAGCGGGCCATTCGAGATGGAATTAATTAATGCGTTCGAGAAAATTGAGTTACAATTGTCGTCGTCCGTGCATTCCATTTGCGTAAATTCAACCTCGTCTCCTATCCGTCTCGCAGCGCTTCGTACCCGCTCTTCGTGTAATGAACGCGCCTTTTTCGCGATCCGCAAGGCATCTCGAAGCAAATTGAGGAAATGATCCCCGTTACGAATTCGCGTTTACAATTATTACTACATTATGACTTGCTAACAGAGTTAAATGTCCAATAATTATGCGGGACAAAACTCCCTCGATTGATTGCTCGATTCTGAACAAGATAAAAATACGATACTTTTGTAAGTTGTAAAAATATAATTTTTCACGTGCGTGCAGGTGATTATAGCAATTTTCAGATAAAGTGACTGTAACTCTGTTAAACACAATCATTAAATGTAATTCAGATAGTGAATATAATTATATTTTGTAGTATTAAAAATAATCGAGTTTACCGTCGACAGTTTGAACAATCTACGATTATCTTGTACGACAACGCAACGATTAAATTGAAGAGTGCTAAATATTTTATAACAAGACCGTAACGCGCTACGGGACACAGACTGGCAGGAATGGCTGGACATCTCTATAATGTATTTTAAAATTATAGAAATATCCAGCTGGGACTCGATTCTCGAATTCATTCGAAGGAGAAACGTGCGCAAGAATTCTACTCTTACTGAAAAGATGCAAGTTGACTGGCTATTCGCTGTATCTCTTCTGTAAGAACAGAATTTTCGCACACGTTTCTCCTTCGAATGCATTCGAGAGAAATACGTATGCGAAAATTCAGTTCTATAAGCAGCTTTTCTGTAAGAGCAGAATTTTCGCACACGTTTCTCCTTGGAATAAATTCGAGAGTCGAGTCCCAGGGATTGGATTTTCGAGTTCATTCGAAGGAGAAACGTGTGGGAAAATTCCCTTCTCACAGAAGAGATACGTATGCGAAAGTTCTGTTTCTCGCCGATCGACTTGCATCTTTTCTGCAAGAGTAGAATTCTCGCACGCGTTTCCCCTTCGAATGAAGGATATTTCTACAACTTTAAACGTTCATTCTCTTTCGAACGAATTGAAGAATTCCTGCCTGTCCACGCTCCGTGTACGTGCGAAAGCGCGGCGCTCGGTTTCAAATTTCGCGCGCGCGTGCCCGTCGTCACGTGACCGTCACATGACCCGCGCTCCACCGGTCACGTGATGCCGGTTCGCTCCGCGCGCGCCAGCGGCGACCGGCTTTCGTTTCGCGTTTCGGTACGTGTCGCGCGCGCTCCTCGTTTCACGCTCGCCCGCACGATGTCCGGGGACACGAAACGCGAGAAGCACTTCCTCTACAACAGCCTGGCGATCCTGCTGCAGGCCGTGCAGAAGCACCGGACGACGGTGGACCTGCGGAACGAGGCGACGATCGTCGGCGTCGTCGACCATGCCGACGCGTGAGTAAACGATTTGCCGTCGTTGCATTCGAAATTGCGCGTCCCGCCGACAACGCGGGGCGCCTCTTCGCGTCGGGACGAGCGTGGACGCGCCGCGTCCGCGATATATCGCGAAACTCGCCCGGCCGGCCCGGCGTGGCCTCCCCTTTTCCCCCGAGAACATCCGACTCGCACCTCTCTGAACGTGCCGCTCTCACTCACTCGTTTTGCAGATACATGAACGTCGTGATGCGGGACTGCGTGTTCACGGATCCACGCGGGGACTCGTTCCGGTTCGACATGTTCTTCGTGCAAGCAAGGAACATCCGCTCCGTCCACATCCCGTTGAACGTGAGTGAACCATGCTCCTCGCCCGCGGTCTCGACGTCGTCTTTCCCTCCATTTCCGCGTCGTCTACCATGCGTGGCGTAGGCCCGAAGTAAGCAGCTGGAGTAAGGAAACTGATCAATTTTGTCTCGAGCTCCTACTCGAGCTCTTACGCTCTCGGCGAATCGAAACGCCATCGGCCGGTGCTGAAATACTTGGAAAACAATGCCTGTACTTTAGCCTCTTGACGCCAAAAGCTAATGCGTCTGCAATGCGTGGAGTAAGGAGAGAATTCAATTTTATCTCTTACTCCTACTCGTGCTCGTACGCTTGCTCTCGGCGAATCAGAACGTCACCGGCCAGTGGTGAAGTATCTTGAAAATGACGCCTGTATTTTAGCTCCCTTGCACCAAAAGCTAAAGGCTATGGTTCTCTCGCTCTTGCTCCTCACGCCAGGCCTGCTCCACGCAGAGACGACGCATTCGACTCCCAGGGTGGTGTAAGGAGGCGCGCGCGAACGACCGCCCGCCCCGCACTCCCCGCTTTTAGGTTATGTCGCGCCTCGTGACCGAGGTCGGTTCTCGTTGGCGCGTGGAGGCGTTTAGGAGCGTCTAGGGCGTCTAGGGCTCGGGTGTTTGGTGCCTCGGGGTTGCTCAGTCCCGGCTCTGAAGCGCCCTGCGACCGTCTTTCCTGCGGAGCCGCCGCATTATCCGCGCCAGATGTTGAAGGACCTCGGTCTTCGCCGTAGCAACGTCCTCAGGCTGTGTGCACGTAGCCGAGTAGCCGACGAGGCGAAGGTGTTCTCCGGTACGAGCGTACGCGCGGCTCTTAACAGCCGGCACGGCTCCACGGCGTCCAGGGGTTTCGCCGAGAACGACATGGCATCTCACTGGTTCAAATTCGGCGACTACGGTTGCGTCGGTTTCGACCTGGACAACACTCTGCTGCGTTACAACGTGACGAATCTGGTGCACATGGAGTACGAGGTGCTGTCGAGATTCCTGGTGGACGAGCGAGGATACAGCGGGAAGCGTCTCCTGAAGCCGCTGACGGACTACGAGCTGGATTTCATGCAGAAGGGCTTGTTGCTGGACTGCGAGAGGGGAAACGTGCTCAAGGTGGGCGCGGACCGCGTAATCCACAGAGCGTGCCACGGCACGCGCCTGTTGACCGCGGCGGAAATAGAGGAGACGTATCCCTCGCGAAGATCGGACGTCACGGATGCTTTCTGCCGCGACCCAATGTCGCTCTGGAACGGCCCTCTGTCCCAGAAGTTGCGCAGCCTGCTGGATTACTTCGATATAGTGGCGAGCGTCGCGTTCGCGCGGGCCGTAGACACCCTCGACGAGGAGAAGGGATCACCCTTGGGCAGATACGAGGTCTGGCCCGACGTGCTGGCTGGACTGGTCGCCATGTTCTCCAGGGAGCATTTTCAAACGGACCAGGGGGTGTTTGGTCATATTAAGAGAAATCCGGGCAAGTACTTGCGTAAGTGCAGCCCGGACACGATCTCGTGGCTGAGAGAACTGAAGAAGAGGTCCGCGACCTTCCTTCTCACCGGCTCGAACGCGGATTTCGCCGATTTTACCGCGAGCTACGCCCTCGGCGAGGACTGGCGATCTCTCTTCGATATCGCGGTGTGTTACGCGAAGAAACCGGGATTTTTCATTCAAACTCGACCGTTTCTCGACGTCGTGAATAATAACGAGACCGATACCGTGAGCAAGGAGCTGAGACGAGGCGAAATGTACAGCCAAGGAAACTGGGTTGAACTACTGGAGTTTCTCGCTCGTGTAAATCAACCGGTCGATGGGGAAACGAACCGACGGTGCTTGTACGTCGGTGATAATCTCTTGCAAGATATTTACGTGCCAAACGTATACGCGCACTTCGACACGCTGGCCGTAATCGAGGAACAAATGTCAGAAGAGAAGCCCTGCCGCCTATTGACTGATTCGGACAGGCAGATCTTGAACTCGAAACTCTGGGGGTCTTACTTTCGCATAAGAGACTTGTCGATAGACGTGGACACTTTATGGGGGCATATAATAATGCAGCACGCGAAACTCTCTATACCGGATATCAGTTTCGTTACGCGGATACCGTTAGACGAACGTATCTCCTGTTTCGATGGTAAACTCTATGACGGATATTACCCTAATAAACCATATTGCGTTATCCCGCACACCAGATGATGTACTATTCAAATTGTATAGTACAGGAGTGACAATATTTGATGTCATTGTGTCGCATCGTTTTTAACGAAGAGAAAATCTCTCGTCTTTTCAGGAAACCCTACGTGTTAAAAGAATTTTGTAGGTCTTCAGTTCGCGATTGTTTTAATCGCAATATACTTGGTACATGTATTTCAAGACGTTAAAATTAATTCTCTTGCCGAAAAACTCGCAACCGATTATGATCCCTAAATTAGAGAAATTAATTTTCACATTTGCGCATGTTATCGTCTAATTTAGACGTGTTATAATTTAAGATACGGATTATCCCAGCTATCAAGGAACAGTTAAAACGACTAGGCCGACCTTCGAGGGAGAAACGAACTTTCAAAACGAAACGTGCCCAACAGAGACACCGGGAAGACCTTGCGAATATAGAACGAATGTTGGAGAATAAGAACACGGAAACGATAACCACGGATAACGAGACTCGTGAAGATCCAACTGATTGATTTTAAATGAACGCACGTAATGACAGGAAATATTAAGAATGTCATTTGCTCATGGCATTATCGTGTACAGCTTAAAAACACTTTAAATATTTTATACTTGAGCTCAGCATTGCAATAGTTCACATTTCAGCATTTTTATTGAGAACTCTGTTAAGAGATACATATGCCATAAAAAGATTCAACTGCATTTCAAAAGCGATTGGATAATAAAACACTTAAATTACACGATACAAACAAACGTTCTACAGAACAGTAATAAATATCCCTTTATTCAACGTAACAGAAAGGCCATTTGTAGCAAGAAACGCTTCAATAAAAATATAATAAGTTTTATATAAGAAGTATATATATATATAAATAAAGAGAAGACATTCGTTATTTCTTTTCAACAGCAATGGCGATGCCCATCCCCCCTCCTATACACAACGACGCGACACCCTTTTTCTTTCCGGTCCTTTCTAAAGTGTGCAACAGAGTGACCAGTATTCTCGTTCCTGAAACACAAAATTTGGCGTCGTCAAAATTCCTTGGAGGAAAGTCCACGCGTTAATACATGCCTGACATGCCAACGGGATGACCTAAGGCGATAGCGCCGCCGTTTACATTAACTTTCTCGGGATCTAATCCGAGTTCTCGAACGCACACTATCGCTTGCGCGGCGAAGGCCTCGTTTAGCTCGTAAATGTCCACATCCTCTTTCGTCCACTTTGCCTTTTTCAGCTGAAACAAACATACGTTTCCAATCGTAAAAACAGTTCCTGTGTTCCAGAATTCACCGCCAGCGTTAAAAATATGCAGTATATGCTGCGTGCACTATAGATATTTTCAGCGTTGGAGTGAACTTTGGAGCACAATCATTAGGCTTGTTTCCTGTTGCACTGGTGAACTAGTGCAATAAATTAGAATAAGACAAGTCTATTTTTCTCATTCTAGCTTACTGCACTAGTGCACTAGTGTAACAACAGAAAAGCCTATTGTATTGAGATTAAAATCATTGAAAAGCAAATACAATGTACTAACGACTAATTTAACAGCTTCAATAGGTCCGATGCCCATAATTTTAGGCTCAACTCCAACCTGTGCAAATGCGACAATACTGGCAAGTGGTGAGATCCCTTTCTTCACGGCAGTTTCTTCGGACATTAGGATTACGGCAGCCGCACCGTCGTTTATACCGGACGCATTGCCGGCGGTAACCGTGCCATTGTTCTGCAATATCGTAATTTCTCAAGTGCGTGATATTCCCTTCGTATAATTATGTACGGAGATATAAGATATTTAGGCCCGGTTTCACCAACGTCGGTTAACTTTAAGCTTAGCTTAATTCATTCTTTGTCTCTTTCCAACTGTTACTTCAGAAAGAGACAAACTTCGGGCCAGTTTTACAAACGCCGCTTAACCTGCTGACCGAAGGTTAATTGATTCTGTTTCTTCTTCGATAGCAAGATAGAAAAAGATAGGGAGTTGAAACTGAACTCTGGCTAACAGTTAACCGACGTTTGTGAAATTGGCCTTTACCGGTTTAAACGCCGGTTTCAGCTTCGCCAGCTTCTCCATGGTCGTCCCGAATTTCGGGAATTCATCTTTCGACATAACAACCGACTCCTTTTTGCCTGGAATGGTAACCGGGATGATTTCCTTATCGAAATACCCCGCGCCGATGGCAACCTCCGTCTTCTGCTGAGTCTTACACGCGTAGTAATCCTGTTCCTCCCTGCTTATCGCATACTTTTCAGCAATATTCTCAGCTGCCAGTTACAATTAAGAAATTCATTACATATCAACATTTGCAATGCAAACACGGTGTCCACTTTCCACCTACCTGTCACCGCCATGTGAATATTATAGAAAGCGTCTGTCAGACCGTCGTCTAGTAGTGTGTCAATTAAATTGCAAGTTCCGAATTTCACCCCAGTCCTGAGATAAGTGGCGTGCGGCGCTCTGCTCATATTTTCCTGCCCACCAGCCACGACTACATCGCTTTCCCCTGTTTTTATAGCACAGTAACCAGCCATTACAGACCTGCAAGACAAAGACGAAACGCGTCATATAGATTACATTCATAGGCGATCTTGCTCACAATCGTTTCTCGATAGACGTACTTTAGACCGGAACCACAGAGCATGTTCACTTGATAGGCAGGCACATGGACAGGTATGCCGGCGCATATCGCTGCCTGTCTCGCAGGATTTTGGCCCTCGGTCGCAGTGAGTATCTGAAAAACGACAATGGGGAGTAGCATCAGGGAACGCTCCACGCGCATAGAAATGTAATTGTGGCCGAAGATGTGTGCAGTTTGGTGCTTGACAACACATTCCGTCCAGAGCCGTAGATACCTGTCCCATAATGACCTCGGACACATCCGACCCTTTCAGCCCAGCTCTCGTCAGGCATTCCTTAATAACGATACTCCCTAGCTCCGATGATTTCAGCGAGGACAAGGACCCGCAATACGACCCTATACGTGCAGAATAGTAAATGCAATTATTACAAGTAACACAAGTTCCATATAGCATTTGCGGGGACAGTCCGTAGATCGTATAATCGAGCAAGACGTATTCGTTTCTCTTCGGTATAGAGCTCGGCTTCTTTTATCACTGACGCATTACGTTTTTACAAGGTCTTTTTTCTCAACGGGTGTAGATTCAACTGTTTTTTATATATTTGTATCTCTGCGCCACTGGTATCACTGATGCATTATGTTCTTTGGAGGTTTTTTTTTTCTAAGCGGACGTGACTGTTTTTTATATATTTGTATCTCTGCGCCGCTCACATCACTGACGCGCTATGTCTTTTGGATTTTTTTTGTCTTTAAACGGATGTGACTTTTTTCTATATATTCGTATCTCTGGGCCTCGCTCACAGCAGATATAACCTGAATGAATGCCCGGACTCGCTGGATCTCTATCGCTTATGGGGGGGCAACTGTGCGCAAAAGACCTCCGAGGTCTACTTCACTGACTTGATTTGAATTCAAATTTTGCTATTGTTTGCACTTGGGTCACTTAACATTGTAAATGTTTCGCGCGGGGTTTTTATACCAGCCAGCACCGCGTATCGTTTATTACCTATGGGGGTCCTAACAGCGGACACTATCACCACGGTGCGATCACTCATCTTGCCAGCCACGAATCGGGGCACCACCGGACCTGCGGGAAAACACGCGAAGACTGCCGCGTCTGGTATTGCCTAACGGAATTATATGGGCGCTCCGACGACGTGTACCAGGAGCGGCTGTGCCGTGTGAAAGTGTGTCAAGCCGTGCGCGCACTTGCGCGGAGGAAGAGTGGAGGATCAAAGGAGGGAGGGGGTCCTGGCAGCTGCTTCCGTGCCTGTTTCGAGATTTTTCGGACGTGACGTATACTTGGTAAAAAAAAATGTCAACTGCGGGATCGCCGGCGATCGAGCGGACGGAGCGTATGCGTGCGCGAAACGATAGGCCCTGTGCTTCGATATTGTATACTGCCAGTACTGGAAATGTATAGTATACGTGACGCAAGCTATAGATTTGCAGTACTGGCAGTGAGCATCGGAACACAACCAGGAAGAAGCGTGTGACGCAAAGCATTATCATGATTGTTTAGGAAATAACAGTTTTAACATCGGCAAGCGATAGCCGAAAGATAAAAAAACTCTCCGGCTAGTCAAGTTTTTACGCGTAAAGGCCATTCTACAATTGTGTAAACGTAGTTGTAAGGTTGTAGGAGTAGAAATAGTAGTAAGTGTTGTATATTAAAGTAATATACAATAGAGTGAGATACGTCATAATTCAAGTGAATGATTGGTTGATTTTTACGTTTTACATCGTTGTAGTCGTGAAAGATGAAGTTCAACCATCTTTTACAACAGGCTTTACAATCGGAAATGCTAGATTAAAACTGTGTTTTACAACACCCTACAACCGCTAACAACCACGTTTACGCAATTGTAGAATGGCCTTAAGATATTCGCGTTAAAAATATCCCGTACAGCGCGCCTCGCAAGGAATTCGTAGAACGAATCAATATAGTAAAATCGAAGGTCCGTGTTACTCCATTGTCGATAAAAGTGCCTGCCGAAGCCGGCTTCGAAGGATTCACTTTTAAGGCCTGCGTCCACGATGCTAGGACTTGGTCCACGTTCTAGTTTCAAGAAGTGCGTCGAAGCCAATCAACCTGCAGCTATTCCATAAAAGCTGCAAGTTGATTGACTACACATTTCTCGAAACTAGAACTTGGACCAAGTCGTCATATTTTGTCCATTTGTAAAAGTACACATTTCGAATCACGGATTTACTGGGGAAATGATCTCTTCATGAAACTGGCGTAAACAGACGCGCTTGTTTACTTCTCGAGCGTGAAAGGTTTTAAAAGAAAAGGCTCGGCCTTGCATTGTCAAATGTGCATCCGGACGAACTGACCCGACCACGATTAGGTATTGCAGCCGCGATAAAGAAGGCGGGTCACGGATTACGAATGAACGGCTGACAAAGGATCGCTAGATAGCGGTGAGATCGCGATTGAAATACAATGCTCGCGCGCGTGACGGTGGCAAAAAAGTACACATTTCGTACGCTCTTAAGTTCACTCGAGACGAAGAGAATACGCCAATCGGATTCACGAATTTCACGACAGTTGCAAAGCAGCTTTTTCTGGCGAACGCAGCCAGTGAGCCGGGCGGGAAAACTGTCGGACCAACAACGTTGTCGACGCTCTCGAGGTCGGCGACGCACGTGTACGAGCAAGCGGCGTAAGCTGGCGTAAAGGCCTTCACACATAAAATTCCGTAAGGACGTAAAACGTAAGCATAAGAAAATCGACCAATCACAGTCGAGAACGTAAGGCAATGACGCAAGCAGTAGCAAATCCAACCTGTTGATTTTCTTACGCTTACGTTTTACGTCCTTACGGAATTTTATGTGTGAAGGCCTTAGTCCCAGTCTACAATAGATGATTTAAGCCCTAAGCTTTAAGAAATTGGCCAATCACGGTCAAGTATGAGAAGAATGCGCGACTGTGATTAGTCAATTTCTTAAGGCTTAGGGCTTAAATCTCTATTGTAGACTGGGACTTAAGCACGCGTCACATGGCAGTTGGCAACTTGGCACGCTCCTGAATGAGGGACAGCCTCCGGCTGCGCGCGACAGGTGGCGCTGGCGCGGCGCGCACCGCAGCGCCGCCGCGGTGGCGGCGGCGGCGACGGCGACGGCGGCGCGTTTGTTTTTACCCAGCGTGCATTGTGGGACAGTGACTGGTGCTAAGATGGCCGACAACAGGGAGGAGATTTCGGAGCTCGTGGAGAAACGAGGTATTTGTCGGCGCCTCGCGCCCCTCGCTTGCAACGATCGCGTCGCGCCGCGGACGCCCCGGGCCCGGGCGGCGCGTCGCGCCCCGCGGGGCCGCTCGCCGTCGCCGCGCGGGACGCGCTTACTCGTCGGAGCGGCCGCACGTCGAGCCGCGGCTCGCGCGCGCGTGTGTCCCGGGGACCGTCCGCTGGGCGATCGCGCGCGCACGCCGAGGCCCGCGACAACCCGCGGCCGACTCGCCGCGTCCGGGACGTCGCCGCGGGGCCCGCCGGCGCCTCGCCGTCGCGCTGTCATCCTCGCCGTCGCGCTCGCCTTCCCCGTCGCCCGTCGTCCCGTCCAGCCGCGCCAGCCCAGGCCAGGCCGCCGCGCGCGTTTGACAGCGCGCGATCCTCGCGCGGTCGCCCGGCCGATCGAGCGGGGACGGCCTCGCGTAACGCACGACAGCAATTCCGTAGTCGCCGGGCCGATTACTCATTAAGGTCACGCGCCGACGGCCTTGCAGCTCGCGTCGCCGCGCCGCGACGCGACGACGTCCCCGCCGGCCGATCGAGATTACCGTTATCTGTCTCCGTCTGTCTTTCCTCCTTCCATTTTTTTTCTTCTCTCTCCTCTCTCTCTCTCGCCGCGCGTATTCTCCTTATCGCCCCGCGCCGCGATGACTCGTCCTCGCGAATTTAACGCCGGCTGATTCGCACCTTGCGCCTACGCGCGGACGCGCCTCGCCGCGCTGCCGTGCGCGCGCGGATCGGCACGTCACCCGCGGCGCCGCAACGTGCTCCCGCTCGGGCGTTCGCTTCGCCGCTGGATTTCGTCAACACGCGCCACGATCGCGGGCTCTGTGCCGCCGTTAACGCGTTGAATACCCCACCCGAATTGGATCATCTCTGCGAGAGCTTGAATAAACATTGTACCCGCGCGCCAGATCGCCGGATGCCTTTTCGCGAGTACACCTGTTACCCCGCTTGGTTGGTACTTGTGCCGACGGCTGCTTTGACTCATTCATTACTGTGGATTCTTTTGCCGAGGAACGCCGAGGCCTCGGTCATAATTATTCGACGTGTTAATTAGCCGAGAAACATTTGTAGAAATCTGAGCTCAAGCGAGCTCGACGCCACGTTTAGATAGACTCGAACATTATAGTTATAAGGATGTCGAATGATAAGAAGAATGATAACGTATCGCCTTCAAATAAATTTTTGATAAAGAGAGAAGCCGGTCGGGCGTCGTTAAAAGAACTTTCATGTAATTGGAGACTACAGTTCTGAGGCATACATCGAAATAGACGGAATGTCCGATATCGGGTTTCTTAAAAAGTGTCGATACAGAAGGCTCTTGAATTTTGTACGCGTAGATCGGTATTGCGTTTCTTCATTCTTTTAAGATCGCAATAACCGGCGAATCGATTGTTTCAAGCGCCGCGTTTACATTCCTTTATGTCCTAGGAATTGGGTTAAATATTGAACTTCTTTCACTTGAGTCTTTTTTTAAACTTGTTAAATATACTCAATTTCTTCTTTGCTCTCTTAAAAAATTTTTTTTTTAATAGACTGGACAATACATGGAAGATAATAGAAATAAAATCTCTAGCCGATCTGAACTACGTTCATATTTTCAAAGAACAGTAATCGTATCTAGAAATATCGCGCGTATTTTTGCACACGTGATTTCAATTTCGAAGAGATTAATTACACAAATGTTGAATTACCTGGAAAATATTCTAGACAGCCGGACAACGGCCAAGATATTCAGGTGAAATATTAATAGTTGCAATGTATACATTATTAGAGATAGGATAGATTTCTCTTAGAGATAGATACTCTTCTCTAAAACGCATGACTAATCGGCAAGAATAAGCTAGAAAATTGCGAGCGCCAAAGTTAAATGAAACGGAGCGAGCATGTCGAATCGAATAAGCATTGCCTAGCGATCACTTGATATTTTTTATGCAATCCGTTATATACGCGTAATAAGATTAACTGTAATACGCGCGTCCAGCGATGCGCCGTGTCCCGCAACGATGCATGCCTTGCTCGTCGGACCGGTGCGCATCCGTACGCGGTTCGTACTCGAATCTCGTCGCTACCTGAGCGAACATCTATATTTTACACTCGCCGTACGGTCCCCGATGTCTGCATTACGCAACCGCGAGTCCTAATGACGCTAATCAATTCGCGTAGTCGCTGCGTCGTATTTTTTTTTTTCCAGGCGTAAGTCGAGGACGTCGGGTCGACATTTTCGGTCTTAACCCGCGGACGTGCGCGTCGGAAGTTAGATTTTTCAAAGCGAGGGACGTCGTCGAGCAAGCAGCGCGATGATTAACTCCGGCGGATTTCTCCGACCGAAGGATATTGACTCGACTGGCCGCACATAAATCGTAAGGTTATCGTGTAGGGAGTCGTACGCTTTTCCTTCGCGTGATCGCAGAGCTCAGATTCCCTTATCGCACTCTCTCTAATATATCCACGCGATATTCGATCGATTATACACACACACATTTCGATTTCGTTGCATTATTGCGCGATAACAATCAGCAGCAATAAATGGTTCAACGGATTCCGTGGAAAATTCCTTGCTGTTATATAATTAATATTTCATGTTATAGGATTTTTTAATCACACTACTCATACGAGCCTCTTCGAAAACTGAACAACTGCGCTTTTTGTGAATTTCTTAAACGTACAGCCGCAGAGCATGTAGCTTATACTTTCTCATCACTCTTTTCTTTTTTCATCCAAGCGTTCAGTTTGTCTTCTGAGAGATTTCTAGAAGAAATAAAATTACATGGATAGAACATGCGAGCTATATTTATTGATAATATATCCGCAGAAAAATTATGTCGACGGGAAGAAAGAATGACTTGATAAATTCTGAACGAGGCCCCAACTCGCCTTGCTCTTGCTTTAAAATCAAATAACAGATTACTTCAGCTAAAAGTTATCTGTACATTTAACGTCGTAAATCTTTATTAGCGACGATCTCGACACACACAATGATATACAAGTCTGACATCATCTGCAATAATATTCTTAACTGACGCAACTATTCAGAAATATTTTCGTTCACC